TGCAGGCTGTCTTGGAGGATCTGATGCTGTCCTGTAGGACAGTGTCTGTCTTGTTTTCTGTTTAGGCCCGGTTTAGACTGTCTCGCCCATTTGCCCAGTTTTATGTCTGCTTGCATTGATGTGCATTCTGTTCCAATACCTAGTGAGCCTAAGTAGACACTAAGTAGGCATTTTTAAGGCAATTTAATTGCCCTAAAGCCAGCATTTATTTATATGGTTATTTCAGATGCCCAGTTCCTCCAGAGCTTAATGTGTTGACGAAAATGTAGAATAAAATAAAAGAATTAATAAATAATATATTTACGTTTTATTTTTATTTTTCATATTTATTTTGTTGTTTTTATTTTGTATATATATATATATATATATATATATACAAAATAAAAACAACAAAATAAATATGAAAAATAAAAATAAAACGTAAATATATTATTTATTAATTCTTTTATTTTATTCTACATTTTCGTCAACACATTAAGCTCTGGAGGAACTGGGCATCTGAAATAACCATATAAATAAATGCTGGCTTTAGGGCAATTAAATTGCCTTAAAAATGCCTACTTAGTGTCTACTTAGGCTCACTAGGTATTGGAACAGAATGCACATCAATGCAAGCAGACATAAAACTGGGCAAATGGGCGAGACAGTCTAAACCGGGCCTAAACAGAAAACAAGACAGACACTGTCCTACAGGACAGCATCAGATCCTCCAAGACAGCCTGGACTAGAGAGAGACATCGCGGTAGAGGAGGTGTGTCTGCTGTGCGGTCTTTTGAAGGCACAAAGACAAAGCGATGAGCACTGATAAGAGGAGGCGCCACACTGCTTGAAGCCCTGAGAGCTGAGCAATCACACACAGACTGATAAGCATCGGCCCATAAAGACGACTCCGGCAGCTCTCTTCCAGACGGGCCGGAGAAGAGAGAAAGAGAGGGAGGGGAGCTGTGTGATAAAGATGGTTACTTTCTTTCTTTTAGAGGTGAGGGTTTAAAGGAGGGGCGACGTGAGATGATGACAACACAGTTTTCTTGACAGGAAGTCACTAGATGCAAAGGAACAGCAGGTATGTCTGAAGACACCGCAGAGAGTCAGTGCAATCTCAAAGATGAAAACTCCTGACAGTGCCATGCAGCTAATGTGTGTCTACAGGCCAAGCACTAAACATCACAACAGTCAACACGGTCTACCTTCTACTGACAAACCACATTTCAGAGCGTTGCAAATGCGGTGCTTTGATTTCAATGAAACATGAAAGACTGTGCCGTACACATGTATGTGTGAGCATACACAGCAAAATACCACTTTGCGACTGAAAAAGAGCAAACAAAGCAGTGTACTTTGCTTCCCTGAAATTGATTTTCTCTCTTGTTTTGTTTAGACTGTATAACTACATATATGGAGGCTCAAAATGGAGAGAAATCTTTTAAAAGTACAAGCTTTTGTTGATTGGATTATCTTAACATGACAACTGGAGGAATGGAAAAAAAGAGGAATCAAAATCCCTTTAAACAACATCCATCTAATCTAACGCAAAGGTTACAATAAGCCTATTTACCAAATGTAGACTGCTGATAGTTTTTCAGCCGGGTTGTAATGGTTTCTGTGTAACATACCATGAAGTTTAAAGTGTCCACATGCTCAGCAAAGAAAGTTGAGTCAAGCTAGAGAGGATTCTTGCAGATTCGTCATACTGGTAACTGTTGTTTGTAATCCTGTGGGAAAAACCATAAGACCAGCCAGCGGTCTTACCTGAGCCAGTATCTATGACTGTCGACTGGCCTCTACGGTCGGCCACCAGGCGAGAGGAACCAGGCATGCTAACGGGTTCTGAACGCACTGGCTGGATCCTGCAACACAAGGACAAGAGATATCCAAAAATTGTGAATTAGACTCCTACACATTACATTTACATTCACTTTTATCCAAAGCGACTTTCTGTACAAATGAGGATAACAGAAGCAATCAAAACCAACAAAAGAGCAATAATATGTAAGTGCTGTGACAAGTCTCAGTTAGCCTAACGCAGTACATGTAGCCAGGGTTTTTATTATAATAAATTAAAAAAAACAAGAAGATAAAATAGAAAATGAATAGGAAATGCTAGTGTTAGTGGGTCTTTTTCTAAATAAAAATAAAACAAGTCAAAAGAATAGAAAAAGCATAAAGAATGCTAGAGTTAGAGGCTTTTTTTAAGAAAACAAGTAGTTAGAATAGAAATAGAATAGAGACTGCAAGTGTTAGAGGGTCAAGTGTTTTTAAATAAAAAAAGAAAAAGAAAACAAATAGATATAAAATAGAATTAGAATATAGAGTGCTAGAGTTAGAGGATCAAATGAAGATTAATGAACATTACACTAGCATTAGCTACAATAGCATGCGTGACGACAGTTAGCGATGTGAAGTGTGAATTAAGAGGGTCTATAAATCTCGTTTAATGACATGGTATGCTGATTAATACAGAATTTAAATATTAATGAAACATTTCTCAATATTTGCTGTAAAAACGCCACCAAATTTTGAAATTATAGAAAGATAAAATGATAGAACAGCGACAACAGAGACAGACAGACAGACAGACAGGGAGACATCCAGAATGATAAAACAACAGACAGAATGACAGATGACAGATAAATTGACAGATAACCAAATGATGAAACGAATGATAGATAGAGAGATAGCAGTGTTCGTACAGTGCAAGTGCTGGCTACAGTTGGTCAATATGTGTATTTAGTGAATTTCTGTGGTTAGTAACATGAGTCTATGCTGTCACATTGTGAATTGGGTGTTGATGATGGCAGCTGGTAATGTGAGCAGCACTGTGTGTGAATGTGTGTGTTTAGTGTCGGCACCTGAGGCTGTGCAGGTCCAGGTCGTCTGTGTCGAAATCAAGGAGAGGCTGCTGGGTGTCGCTGGGCCCCTGTGACTGCAGTACAGAGGAGCTGGAGGAGATAACAGTGGTCTGACCGGACGGATGGATGGTCTTGAACTGAAACTGAGGGCCCATCCAGAGTCTCCTGTGAGGGCCTGTGTGGGTGACAATCTCCACCTGTAAAGTATAATGCCAATAGATATGAGCACTTAAACAGCTTTTGCAAGAAATTTAACTTCAGCAAAGTAATATATTTTTGAGTGCACAATAGTCAGGAGTATCAAAGAGGACTTTATTCTCTGCATCAGGATTTTTTTTAAATTTATTATTATTTTTCTCCACTCGCACAACATCAACAGTTCTAACAATCACAATTCGTAATGCGAAACATTTCTTATTAGAACAAATGTTTTCAACTGGTAGACATACATGAAAAAAATGTAAAAAATAAATAATAATATTAATAATAATAAATGTTCCTAAAGTATATATTTATATTATATCTATTTCACATTTTTAATTATTAAAATGATTAACTATTTTATATTATTACTGGGGGTCCATGTACAGGTACATAAATATAGACATGTAAATATATGTAAATATTATCAAAATATATACTGTATGTGTGTGTATTTATATATACATAATAAATATACACAGACCACACAAATATTATGCAAACAAAAACTTTTATTTTGTATGCAATTAATTGTGATTAATCGTTTGACAGCACTAATATCGTATAAAATTTATAATAACATTAAATAAAATAAAAAAATTAAAAAACTTTATATAATACCATATATAAGGACTCTTAAACTGGGGTTGTTGTGACACCAACAGTTGAAATATACACACGCACACACACACACACACGCACACACACACACCGTGTGGACAAGTGTCTGTTTTTGACCAGCAGTATCAAATCTGGGGAAGGGAAGGGGGGTTAGACAGACGCCACTCTTCCTCCCCAGTGGACCGCATTAACATGGCACAGAAAGACACTAACATCATGAAGCAAGAGAGAGGGAGAAGTGGAGAAGACGACCGTCCATCCAGCCAGCATCCCTCTCTCCTCTTCATTTCTCCATCTTTTCTGAAAGAGCATGGCGTGGGGTCAACTCTTCTGTCCTCTTCCTGTCACATCTGTGTAAATGAGGCCAGCGGTATGTGTGTGTTTTTTTTCTCTGTAGGTTAACACCAACGGTGCTGCACAGCCCTGAGAGAAACAGATGCGGCGGCACTGTCTTTTTTTCTGCTTTTGTGGGGGCCATGGCCAGATGTTGCCCCCCTCCGCACTTCGCCTTGAGCCCGCCATATTGCGGCTGCCTCACATTGACAGCACTTATTACACACAGCCTGCTGCCATAGCACTCACAGAGAACTGTGTTTTTTATGCTATGTTGCCACGTAACAGACAAGCAAACTAATTGCAATCGCATATAAAGCAGATAAATAGAGTCATCAACAGGGTTTAGGCTGTGTTTAGCCAATAGCTGTCGCTGCAAGTGTTAATGGTGTCATTAGGCAGGCGGGATGTGATGGGGGATGTATGCTGTCGCTAACGCTGATGCATTAACAACCTTAAGGTTTAAGAGCTTTGGCTGGGGTTGGTCAGGCCACACAAAAACTGCCACACGCATGCTGGACATGCTGCATCTGCATAACCCAGAGTATTAGATCATAAAACATACAAAAGTCTCAGACCACATTGTAAATCTGGGATTACGAACCTAATTTAAAATGGGAAATAAAAGTTGTGAGATTTTGAAAGGTTTAAACGGAATATATTTCATGATGTGAAATAAATATTTATGAAATATTTAATATTCTGACTACTTCTGCACTCAAGTGTTGTTGTTATTAAGCAGAATACTAGGAAATATTGAGATTTATATTATTTTCTTCCAATTACAACTTTTGATTAAAATGGTTATGCTGATAATACCTTTTGTAATTTAAAATAAGCATATTAAATAGCAAACAAGAACCATTTTTACTAGTGTTCTTAGACTTTTGGATCTCACTGAACATGTTTGGATGGATGGATGGATGGATGGATGGATAGTTATTGTTATGTTAAAACTATTAAAACTGTTTGTTAAAATAAAGATGAAATAAAATAAAATATAAATATTAGACATGAAAGATGAAAAACAACTAATAAAATTACAAAATCACATAACAAAATTGCCAAAACAAACAAAAAAAACTCAATGAGTTTAAGATAATTGATTAATAAATAAGTAAAAATAAAAAAAAGCTAATTCTAAATACTACAGTATTATATAAATAACACTAAAATAAGACAAAAAAAAAAAAAAAAAGAATGTTTTCTAATAAATCAGGCAATCATGCATAATATTTTGGATGACAAAAGTTGGGAAAAAAAGGATAAAAATGTGACCAGATCCATGATGGGTGAACACAGCTGACAATGGGGTAAGAAATTATTTATGACCTATACCAGCAACAATTGCATTAACTGATGCATTAACACTCACCTGTGAGAGCCATTCTTCGTCCTCCTGGCCACTGTGATCGGATGCCAGACTGTCATAAGACTCGTGTCGGGTAATGGGGCCAGGGCTGCCAGGAGGAGCCACTGCAAAGAGACAGAAAATAATTAGTTATGTACCAAAATATATATTTCAGATTAGTTATGTACTAAAAATAAATAAATAAATGTCACCTTGCTAACAATAAAGAGTAAACAGCAAATTATGATGACTCTGTAAGAAGTAAAAAAAAAAAAAAAGAATGTTTTCTAATAAATCAGGCAATCATGCATAATATTTTGGATGACAAAAGTTGGGAAAAAAAGGATAAAAATGTGACCAGATCCATGATGGGTGAACACAGCTGACAATGGGGTAAGAAATTATTTATGACCTATACCAGCAACAATTGCATTAACTGATGCATTAACACTCACCTGTGAGAGCCATTCTTCGTCCTCCTGGCCACTGTGATCGGATGCCAGACTGTCATAAGACTCGTGTCGGGTAATGGGGCCAGGGCTGCCAGGAGGAGCCACTGCAAAGAGACAGAAAATAATTAGTTATGTACCAAAATATATATTTCAGATTAGTTATGTACTAAAAATAAATAAATAAATGTCACCTTGCTAACAATAAAGAGTAAACAGCAAATTATGATGACTCTGTAAGAAGTGCAGTGTACATCACTTTTCATAAAAGCATCAATAAAACACCCACTTAAGTAATTAACATTTTTGGGCTATGGAAAGCCAGCAAAAATGTTCACAGTATGTTTTGGTATGTGAGCAACAGCAGAACAGATAAAAGAGTGCAGAGCGGTCAACAGCAAAGACAGCACGGGCAGTGACAGATGGAGCACTTGGAGGCTTCGCTAAGCAGGCGCCAAGTATTCAGACTAATGTGCACAATCAGTGGTTTCCCTTCCCACCTCCAGGCAAACACATGCCTTTGTTACCAATGTACATAATACAGCAGTGAATAATAAAGATGTCAAGCCCTCATCTGGAGGACACAAGGAGCCCGTCTCTCTTGTTGCCTCTTCTTCTCTCTATCTGTCTTGCAGACAAAAGTGCTCACGCACCAGGTGTTCAGACACACTTGATGAGGTGTTCCTGCCAGGTTCATGGCGCAGTCACTACTGTGTGAGTAACAGATACACCGACACCTCCACTCGAAGGGGAAATCTGCTCGCTATCCATCCCACTCAATCACAGTAACACTAGCTGCTGCCAGAGCACGGCCTCCGCTATCCCAGCAAGCTGCATTATGTGGACATAAATCGTAGAGTGACTTACCGACCTCTGATGGGTCAGAACAGAGCCAGACCATGTTACCTCTTAAACACAATAAAACTCTGGCCTTCCTCCTCCCCTCCTTCCAAAGCCCAGGGGGACAATAAGTGTTGACTAATAAATAATTGAAGCATAAGAACAGTAGCTGGCTCTGTAGATCAGGTTACAGTGGGTTCATAATGGCCGGGCTTAAGAGGTCGAGGGCTCCTGAACTGTTAAGAGCAGTTTATCTGTTGTGAGTTAGAGTGTGAGCAACAGAATAAGGACAGGAAACAGGCCCTGACCGCATAAACCCGCAGTATCGCAGTCACAGCCTGGTTACAAATTTGCCTTGGCCACCAACACACAAACCATGTACAAACGAGCTTTCAGTTAAATAATGTTTGTTCAGGTACATAACAGTGTACGCATTGACACCTGGAAACAAAAGCAAGACTGGGTTTCATGTCAGATAATTATTTTTACTTCAATGCATGATGTCTACGGCCACTTTTAAGGTACATAAAAATGATCAACAAGGGTGTGTGAAGAATTGTGGTACTGCTGTTATTTTCCCCCATATTACCCCGAAATAAATAAATATAAATAAAGTCAATTAATTAATGAATTCATCCATTTTAATTTTATTATTTCTTCTGAAACCAATCAAATCTGTATATTTAAAATTGTATTTATTTACATATTTTTATAGTAACGTCTACATATTTATATTTTTTATAGTCATATTTATATAGTAGTAAATTTGTGAATAAAAATGTAAACATCTAAATATTTACATAAAAATTAAACTGTTTATTTATTTATTTACTTAAATGCATTTTTTATTGGTTAGTCCATGGTAAAAATGAATACTGTATAAGGCCACTTTCTATATACATTAAATTGTTCAGTTAAATAAGCTGCAAGAAGAATTGTGGACTCAGGTTTGGCTTATAAACCCTTGCATCAGATGTTTCTGCTATTACTATTGCGATTTTTTTCTACTCTGTCACTTTTTTAAAAAGAAAACATACAAATTGTATAAAATTTTCTATTTAGTATACTCGGAAGATAGCTATTCAATCCCAGAGGCGTTTGGGTGTATTCTGCTCACTGCGTTCCAAAAATACAATGAAAGATTATGCTAAATAAAAGCAGTGTGTAAGTTGTAAGGGTCATGGGCTGCACCTTCCTGCAGCTATGAACGAAACCCTCGCACCTTTCCTTAAGAAACCTGGGCTCATTCATTAGAGAGCTCTCAGACACACAGCCGCCACTCTCTCTGCTCAACGACAGCTAATGTCGCAAGCTGAGGATTCCCTGAGCGCGTTCAGTTGGACCGAAGGAGCTTCGCTGGGCCAGCGTGTCCTTGTTATCTACCCATCATCTGGGTATCATCAGCAGTGGCTGGGTAATGCTCCCCTTCCCGAGTGCTGCCAAATGCTGGGCAAATGGACAGGTGGAGATAGTGACCAAGAAGTGGCGCCACGGTTGCTTTTATCACCAGTCGTGCAGGCTCCAGCTCCTCTGACCCTACCGTCCACATGCTGCATTTTTAATCAGCCAGGTCATCCAATCTAGAAGCAAGACCAGAGCTGTCAATCACAAAGCCCTGCTCGCTGCAAGTCCTCATAGTTTGAGGGTAAAGGCACGCAAACCGCCCCTTTCTGAGACGGCAGAGTCTGGGAACAGTCCGCTACTGATGCCCCTCTGCTATCTCCAGCTCTCTTCCGCCATCTTTCTTTGTATTCTCCCCTTTCAGAGTGGCCTTTTACAAAGTAATTACAAAGAAAACGACAGCCTGATAACATTAACGGCCAGCTAAAGCTTCTTTATGCTTGCATCACTTCCTGCCTTCAACTGCTTTGCTAAGAAGATCTCAGTGATCAATCAAGTAAATGTATTCATAGAAACATTTGGTAATAAAAGGTTTCTTGATTTTATCAACGTTAATGAAGACAAGAAGAAAAAAAGTGCATCATTCTGATAAGTATTTCAATAAAAAAATAACAAGAAAATAAGAAAAAATAACATCACATATATATATATATATATATTAGGGGTGTAACGGTTCACAAAATTCACGGTTCGGTTTGATACGACAGTGGTGTCACGGTTCGGTTCAGTATGTTCAGTACGGGGTTAATTGGTTACGTCACAATGTTGGAAATATTTCTGTTTTAAACCATGAAGGCGAGCCAATGGATATCACACACAAGCAACATGCAAACTTTGCGCAAGAGTTATGCCGGTGAACTTCTTAATCCCAGTCAATTCACTATGCAGAAAGTGAAAGTGCAAGAGTTACGCCGGTGAACGTCTTAATCTCAATTCAATTCACTATACAGAAAGTGAAAGTAAAAATGCAATGAGCTTTCGCCATCTGACGCCGCATATTCTCTCAGAGATGGCGAGACAAATCTACTTCAACATATGCTGATAACGGTATATAGCTAACTATTTCTAATATTACATAGTGAAAAAAATTAGAAGAAACATTTCGTGTTAAACAGGTTGTTTTTGAATATTGAACTTCAATTGAACTTGAATTGAATTTTTGAAAGTCGGTGTTTGAAATAAAAGCTTTTTATTTCATTATTTTTTATTGATGATTGAAGTGTTAATATTTTAATACTATATTTCATTGTATAGACCTGTTTTAAAATCATTTTAATTGAGGAGTAAATAGCCTAATCTTTTGTTATCCCCGCAGCACGTCAGTTATTTGGGAATTATTGCGGGGCAAATTAATTGTAATTTTAATTGAATAATAAAACTAACTTCATAATAATAACAGGCCTAATAAAAATAATAATGTAACAGGACTACATTAATTGTAAATGCCAAACCCTCTTAATATTGCCAATAATTGATGTATTTGACAATATCTCTGGCTATCGATGACTGAAGTGTTAATATTTTAATCATAGGTCTATAATTCATTGTATAGACCTGTTTTAAAATACCTTTTTTTTTAAACATGTTAATTGAGGAGTAAATATATGGCCTCATCTTTTGTTATCGTCGCAGCATGTCAGTTATTTGGCGTCAGTCAATATTATTTATTGTTTTTGTTATCCTCGCAACACATCAGTCAATATTATTGTGGGGCAAATTAATTGTCATTTTAATTTCATAATAAAAGTAACTTAATAATAATAATAATAATAATAATAATAGGCCTAATAAAAATAAGAATGTAACAGGCCTACATTAATTGGAAATGCCAAATAGCTTAATATTACCAACAATTTATGTTTTTGACAGTATCTCTGGCTATCGTCGATACAAGATCATCGTCTTTCGACGCGACCCAACCCAGCAAGAGGAGGTTATTGCGGGGCCTTTCGCAGTGCGTGTCCTGCGTGCCTGTCCACTAACGTTACGCCACTAAGCAGACAGCACGTTGCCTGTTACGTCATTTGGGCTGCCTTGTTGAGCACAGTGGCACTGAGAACATTATATTTCACACACTTTAAGCTCTTTTATTTTCCAAATGGAATAGGATTAATCCAACGAATCGTTCGGTTTGTAATGTGTACCGAACCGAAAGCCTCGTACCAAACGGTTTGCTATAAATATGTGTATCGTGATATTAATATTTTTGAGTAAAACAAAAAAAACGGAATACTGGGGGGTGGGGGGATATACTATATCCAGTAACCATTGAATACGTCAGTGGTTGCTGCTCATGGTGCGACATAATGCAGCACGCAATCAAAGGTGGCACGTCGTGGGCTGTTCAGCACACTGAGGGCCAGGGCGAAAGGCAAACACAGCCACATGCATATGCACATACTCTTCTGAGTGTCAGGTTGGTGAGGTTCAGCTGTAACAGAAGTGCACAGTGCAAGGATCTCTGGCTTATTTTAATTAGACATTAACGTTAATGCACTGAACAAGCTCATTATGCCTTTCTTTGCCCCCTGGTGGATCGCATCCACAGAGAGCCACTGCCATGACCACTCACGCACGGCTATTTCATCACTCTGACACATGCATGGTGATTAGACCGACTTCCAGAGAATATTCTACCCGTTAGGCCTAGAGCACTTGGGCTTTAGTGGCAGAGAAGAAATGTGAAGCCTGGCCTGAAGGACCCAGACAGCTAATTACTCATTAATGTTTATGATTATCCAGCTAACGCAACAATGCTCACTTATTCAAGATATATTAGATGTGTGGTCATCCGTGAGCCTTCTGCCCTCGAGTTGCATTCTCTTGCCTTTCATACGTCAACCCAAAGTGCTCGCGCTCTCTCTGCACTTGTTATTAAATTACATGAGTTTAAAACCACACTAATTGGTTTAATCTGAACGCTGGGTTAATTTGGCGCTATGAGTTTCAGGGCACGGATGTACTAGCGAGTGACAAAGCCCTGATTCACAACAGCACTTGAGAAAGAAAAGCGCTTCACCAACTGCTACGTCAAACGGAACGGGTTTATCTCTGCGACCGTTCAAGAACATGCAGACAAGAAAGATTGAGTTTATTGTTCATGTTTCTTGTGTAGTGGTGCACCAATGAGGGTTAAAAACAAACATCTCCAGTGAGACAGACATACTTACATCCAGCCAGGAGGTATTGATAGTACTGCACGAAGTCTGAGGCCAGCACCAAGGGGTGGTTGCTGTTGAAAGATGGTTGTAGCTCATTCCACCGCGGTGTCCTACTCAAAACAAACATAGAAATCAATTTAGGAAGCACATATCAAAGGGACAGATGTATATTACAGTCTCCAGCTGAGCTATAATGGACTCAAAACTCTCCACAGCCCGACGGACCTTCCATTTCTCCCGTCTCATGTGGGCCGCACGAGCTATACAGCTCAGTACATACAATCATTTAACATGTACAATCAGATCAGAAAGCCATTCTGAGAGCAACCCCCGCCTGTTTCCATTTTCTTCGCTTGGTCACAAGCTTTATTGCATTATGACTGAGCTCAGCGTCTGGGTCGGTGAAAAGCCGTGACGTTAATCATTTGCTCGCCCTCATTAAGGCGCCATATAAGCTGTTTTATGTAAATGATATGACTGCAGTGGGTCGTGTCAGGTGCTTCTGTCGGACTGAAGTTGAAGTGTAAAAGCAGGTAAATAGGTGTCGTGCTGAGAGCCCCGGGGCAACACCTGGCTAGATTCCAACAGGCTCTCGGACAGGTGTTCAGCTCCAGAGGCGTGTCGTCGCCTATCTTTTGTGCCATGCTGATTGGACGAGGTTCCAGCACATGCTCCACCAGATTTCCGTAGCAACTCAGGATGTACAGTGATTCAACGACAGCCTGCCGAGACTGATCTAACAGGGAAGAAAAGTCAAGAACAAGTTATTAAAGATTTTGGTTTCTAACATGACCTCAGAATTTTTTTGTGGATTTTGTGGAACAGATTTTGCAGTTCCATCTGGTACCACTTAAAGGATCAAAGAAATAAACAAAAAGGAGAAGCCAGAGCTTTTAACAAATAATAAAGAAATAGAATATAAAAATATACTAACTAAAATATAAGAAAATATAATAAATACTATACACAGTCACACACATATAAATATATATATTTTAGTTTAACTATATTATGTATATATAAATACACACACATACAGCATATTTTTCGAAAATATTTACATGTATTTACATGTATATATTTATATTCTATACTTTCATATTCTATATTATATTCTATATTTATATTATTGGGAAGCCGTGGCCTAATGGTTAGAGAGTCGGACTCGTAACCCAAAGGTTGTGGGTTCGAGTCTCGTACCGGCAGGGATTGTAGTACACACACATATATTATTTAAACAAAAACTTTTATTGTGGATGCAATTAATCACGATATATATTTCATCAATATTCAAACCACTTAATTTAGCTAAAGCTTAAAAATCATGTCTAAATAAAACTCAATCAAAATAAGATGCTCATGCACTAAGGGTTGTAAGCCATGTCAGACCTTTCTCTCTCTTCATGTTGGGGTTGGTGATGAACCAAGAGCGGGAGGAGGCGAAGACTGCAGCCACGCAGAACTCCCCACCACTGGACTTACTGGGAGAGATCTGGGGAGGTGGCTTGGATTTGCTACAAAAAAAAAAAAAAAGAGTCACAAATGAGAATAAGAATATAGAGAGAGAGAAAGAAAGAAAGAAAGTAAGTCTGTTTTTGGTGATTGGCATCAGGAGTAAAACAGCAAAATCAGTCACATTACTGACAAGAAAAGAGAGACAGTTGGGATGTAAAGAATCAAGACAGTATGTCCTGCATATGAATGAAATCGCTCAAGAGTTTCGAACAAAAACTGCACATCCACAAACAAAATACTGTGCTTGTAAACAAAAAACATAATACAATCACACATTCATACTTCATGCAAGTAAAAAAAAAGAAAAAAAAAAAGAAAAAAAAAGAAAAAAAAAAACTTTTTTGGCTTATTATTTCACTGCCATTCTCTTAGTGTTTTAAGATGTTTAAGTGTAATCTGAAAGACACCATTTATAATATGTTTATGTATACATATGTTAATAAGAAAATGTCTTTAAATTTGCAGTCAAATGCATATTATTAAAAATGTTGTTTTCGAGAGGAATTTAATTTCACTTCACTTGTATTTGACAACATAACCATTTTAACTTTTATTTAGCAAGCACAATTTTACCACAGTTGTCAAAACCAGAAAACCATTGATCTTTTATATTTCTGTTCAGTGAATATAATGACGTTGTTAAAGCTCAACACATACATATACACTCCAAGAGTCTGTACAGATACCACATAATGGCTGTCATTTGCTTATAAAGCGGCTTCAAATGGAAGCTTTTAAGCTGCTTTGGAAGGCCTAATTTTAGTCTTGGCATTTGAGAAAAATTATTAGGGCCTATTGAATTATTCTTTACATCAGTAAGTTTTTGAAAAAGCCAAGGAGAAAAAGGGTCATGAGCTGAGAGATAAGGACTCGCATGTGGAATTCATCCTAGAACAGAAGCCATGTGGTGTCACTGTCTGAATCCCGCACTGTAAAAACCTGCCCTCCGTATCTCAAACATACAAGAGACTCCCAAAACACTGAATACTGGCTGTTTCACACAGAACAACACTTCAGATACCATCAGCCATGCAGAGATACACACTCAAATACACACAAATGGATGTGAATGGGAGCCGGCAAAATAAATTATTAGGAGTTTCAATTTAACACATCAAAAAAAAAAACATATAATTAAGCATACTCCCTAACCTGTAAGTAATTCTACAATATAAAAAATTAACATTAGAACAATTCAACAAGATTTGTGCTACTCGGCCGCAGTGAGTGAATCCTCAGCTGTAAGTATAAGCAATGCATCTCAAACCACACTTATGCCACAAAATGTGCTATTCACACAGAACACATTTGTGCATTCAAAAACAGTTATATAAACAGGAACAGAATGGATGAAATACTTGACAAGGTATCCTAAATACAGAGTTCTCAATGCGCAAGATCATAAAAAACAGTGAGAAAATAAACAACATACTAATTTCTGAAGCAATCTTTTGTTGCATCTTTTCAGTATTTTCTTCTTCTAAAATGTATTAAATAGAAAACAATTATTTAAAAATTTTAATATTTCATAATATTGTTTTTTTTTTATCAAATAAATGCAGCATAGATAAGCATAAGAGAGAAAAATATCAACCCCATACTTTTGATCCCTATAACTCTTATATTTCTATTGTACTAAAGCCATATCAAATGATTCATATTTTATCTAGAAATAATGTTATAACCTGCATATGCATTAACCTGAAGAACATCTTCAATTTAATTTAATTTTGTTGTATAATACTATTTAAAGTTAATATTTAATCCCAGATATGTTCCATTGGCCGCAGACACCGCCTTTTAGTTTGCAAACCCCTGATATATATGATTAATTGCTATAAATCTGATTAATTCATCAGCATATCATGTAATTCATTCAATTCAAATATGGAATCGATTGAAAGCCCTAGTCATTACGCATTAAAAGGGAAGATAACTGCAAAACAAAACTGCCGATTGTAATGAAATTGTTGTAGACCGTGGAGTCTGGACTGAGAGTTAATGTGGATGAATTGTCCAGTGTTTGAACCGGGACTCTTCCAGCCTTGCATTTCACTAATAGGTGTTGAGTGACCTGTTGCTGAGCTGCACTCTCACTCTGTCACTTCCCTTAAAACTGTCATCAAGTCGTAAATTAATCTCAGGATGAGGAGTGATGCTGACATCTTTGTTTAGCCGACACCAGGCGAGGATTGCTGGTCGGGAAGGACTAAAGACAAACAAGACACAGAACAGTACAGAAAAGCAGGGTGAGATATTGGCACGTGTTTATTGGTGTTGGATGGAGGTGAAGCGAATAACTAAATATCTGCACTGATGGGGAGATACGAGAGGTTTGTCAGTATATCACCTTGGCTTGAGCAGCTGTGAACGTCTCGCTGTCTGTGAGTGTAGAACAGGGGACACGGCACTAAACAAACATAGTCAGCAGCCACAGGATTTGAAGAGCAGGGCACAGTGAAGTGCACGGTTTCCTTTTTCTCCCTCTAATAAAACCAGGAATCCCAAGTGGGATAACGAGGAGAGAAGACAGCAGACATTTTGATAACCTCAAATCTTTAGAAAGGCCGCTTCCTTTGCCCTGACCATCACTGACCGTAGAGAAAAACACTGAGCGTAGCTCAAAGGAGCATTCAAATCCTTCCTGCCCCACTGCAGAGTTCAAGGCAGCGAGGGAAGTGAACGAGCTTAGCAGTTTTCCAGGCTGGGATGCAGGTGAAGAGCTGGCTTTTTCACGTTAGGAGGAGCTGATGCACTTTCTTGAAGGAAAACTGTAAAGGATGGGCGCACAGATGTTCTTAATAACAAAACCAAACCTAACTCAGTGTGACTAAACATTTATTCCTCTGAAATCACAGGCTGACCCTGTCCGCCGCAAATCGGAGAGGAAATTGTATCCGTTTCTAAGTGCTTTGCATAATAAATCTGGAAATATTCTTTCAAAGGTATATAATGTCATGCCAGTAATGATGATGAGACCAAAAACACTGCAAAGAGCCAGTCTGAGTTCAAACCTGGACATAACTTTGAGCGCTCATCTCCTAGCGGTGGGACTAAAGCTGGCCAACTATGGTAAGAGCTCTTTGAAGAGGCTTTGGTCAGCAGATGATTTGGTCAACATGTTCTTATTTGAGTGCACTTTACACTTGCATTGCATCTGAATTTCCTTGAAGCGACCGCTGGAGTTGGTTTGTCTGTATTTGAAATCACTCTTTTCCTCTGGGTCTCACTTAAAGTGGCTAGTATGACTCAAGCTACAGTGATTCAGCGGGTCATTTGAGCGAACAGATTATTCTAAATAAATATTGGCATGGGGAGAGGCTTACACAAAAATGTATCCGAAAATCAATAAATTATGAAACATAAACATATTTAGTGAGATGGAGGAGAAGGGAAGACAGACGTTACTAAACAGAAGCCAATTTCGTCTTCTCCCTATTGGCATTTCCCCTGCTGCTTCTGGAGTGTTTTTTCCTCTCTCTCTCTAACTAATTCACTGAAAAGACTCCTTGCATGTCATTTCCACTTTTAATTTAACATATGAGGACTCTTGACGTGAGCTAATAGCTTTTCCTCAAGGGCATAATTCAATCTGTGATGTCCACCATCAAAGCCCAGCCACATTACAGTCCCGGCCACAGACGAGGCGCCATCAGGGGGGAAGGCGGCCCCCCATTTGTTTTCAAACAAATGCAATGGCGGGCTTTAAACGACAAAAAGGAGCACGGATCTCATTTGAACTTATCAGGGGTCTTGCCGTGACAATCTGACCATATGGTCGGTGTACGTCAGCCAGCGGGGCCTGTGTAACAGCGCTCATGAAAGGGTCGTGCAGAACGCAGACATTTCTCTCAACGTCACATTTATTATCTCACAGCAGCTTTTCCTCGGACACGGCTCGGGCACACGGCCACGGTCCACACACGCTGTGGTAGCCATTTGGGAGGCCGGCATCAAACGCTAAAAGAGAAACAGAAACTTTTCCCCTCCATTTCCAGCATTCCAGCTCATTGGGATATCGTTGAGGAAGGTGCCTGATTCGGCATGATTTCCCTTTTCTTTAGAGAGATGCCGGAAAATATGCGTTCCCCAGGTGTGAGCGCAGCTGTCTGTGGAATTTATGAGCCGCCAGGTTTTGAGGTTTGTGATGGTTGTACTTCTTCGTTCTGAGTGGAGGACACTTTCAAAAATAAAAGGAAAAAAAGTTTCACGTTTTCATAACCTACATCAATCAAAACCTTTCCTGAACTACACAGGATCTCTGTGAAATGATCTTGAAAACAGAGCATATCAGTCAGTTCGGGAAAGGAAAATACATGATTTTCTCCATGCAGAAATAGATTTTTAGCATAACGTATAATCGAAAACATTCTGCTTTTATTTTCATACATCTAATGACTGACTAAAAGTAAATTGTCTCATGACATATTTTTTTGCCGCTTCTGATTCTTAGGGGGGAAGCAGCCAGGGCCGTCCTTAGGGGGGGTGATAGCATTATTTTTTAACTCTTTTTCTCAGTCTACTATTGATTTAATTAAATCCTATTATGGATTTTTGAAAATTAACTTTCATGCACTGTGTAACAGCTCAAAGTGAATGAAAACATCCTGCAAAGTTTTAAATCTGAAAGTGCACCGTGTATAAAGTTACTGTCTCTTCAAAAAAAAAAGAGTCGACTTTGAATCATTGAAATTAGTCGTTTTTAAAACGAATCCCAAGCCGTTTCATGTTGACGTCAACATGAAACATTAGCATATTGCCCACGCAGACCCGGGAAACCTTGACCATCAGTCGATTTTCGCATTGGTCTGAATGAAAATGCTAATTCATTCTTTGCCACTAGGTGCCGCTTTTGGAGCGGTAAAAAATAGCTGTTTCCCCGGTAACGCTGTACACAAAGCAGCACTGCGCTCACAAAAGCTGCTTTATCAGTCATTACAGGCATGATGAAATGGAAATGAAATCGACCAATCGGACCAATCACCGCAGATAAGCGTCA